TTGGTAGAGCAAATATAATGTAGGTAGACAACGATACGTGTAAGGATTTTATTTTCGACTACTGCAGTTTCATGCAATGTGCAATCGTCAGGTCTGAGTTATTGAGCAGAAAGGATGGTATACATATACGTGTTGTGGAATTTACTGGTGGGAGAAAATGTTTCCATTAGGAACAGGTATATTATAAGTGATGGGCGTGAGGTTTGTAGAAAGTGGGCGTGGAAATTAACAGTTCTTGAGCAAGTATTTGTTGCGGTGACGACAGGCGGAGATCAACTCTGATCGTTTGTTTAATGTTTTGTTACGGTCAGATGCGATGATGTAATACTTTTCTGTTAGGCATAGGTTGCAGCGTTTAGTGATATTGTTATATGGGGGTGCTCGTTTTATTATGTTCCATTTAATGGTGAAGGGGGTGTTGCTATCTTTCAGTTATATATATTTTGACAGTCTCGTGCTGTTCTGATGCTTGCGATGATTAAAGGAGTGCTTGTGTGTGGTGTATCTGCATTTGAAGGTGTTCTCCGTTAATCCAATGTACTGTTTCGTGTCGTTTTGAGTTGTGATTTCGGCTTTGGAGACCACGTTCTGGGTGAGGCAGTTTCCATCCAGCGAGCACTCATTTTTCCGTCTGCAGTTGCAATTGCCGTTTACAGGATCAGGTTGTCCGTGGTTTAGTATTTTCTTGTTGTGTAAATTTATTATGGTACCCATGTTCTCCATACAGCTGTAACTAACTTTTACGTTGTTTTTTTTTTTTGAATAATTTGTGTAGTGGGTTTGTAGGGGGAAAGTGCTTATGAATAAGGTTCAGGAATGATTTGCCGATGTTGGTGGCGATGTTCTTGCTGAATGGAGGATTGTACCAGATGATGTTTCTCTGTCGTTTCTGCTTTCGTGGATTCTGTGGCTGAGGGGGCTCGTATTTAGGATCGTACGTGAAACTGGATGCTTGTAGCGCATCCATGTATGGTGGTGATGCGTTCCAATACGTTGCCTCACTGTCGGATAAGTCGCATATTCTCAAAATAGGCCTAAAATATATTGTTTTATTTTAGGCCTTCTTCAAAATACCTATGCCACAGCAGTTGATTTTTTTTGCCCTAAAACCAAAATAGTTTCATGCATGCCGACTTGCCGATCGGTTAAAGCGTGAGCCCTGACTGAACTCTGCAGAAACTTCACGAACTTCGCATCACAATGTAAAACACAATGTCGGAAAACTTTTCTTTGACGCATGCGCATTTGCATAAATGTCTACACACATAAGCACACACATACTACACACAATAAAAAACAAAAGAAATGTGACTAGGAGTGATTACAATAGTTCCTATTGCATTACATGCATAGGAACTAAAAAGCTGCATGGGGTGTCAGAGGCTATATTAAAACAAACTTAATAGGGTCCTATATTAAAACAAACTGCATAGGGTGTTAAAGGCTATATTAAAACAAACTGCATAGGGTGTCAAAGGCTATATTAAAACAAACTGCATAGGGTGTTAGAGGCTATATTAAAGCAAACTGCATATTGTTAGATGCTACATAAAAATAAACTGCATAGGGTGTTAAAGCTATATTAAAACAAACTGCATATTAGATGCTACATAAAAATAAACTGCATTGTTAAAGCTATATTAAAACAAATTGCATCTGGTATTAGATGCTACATAAAAAGAAACTGCATAGGGTGTTAAAGGCTATATTAAAACAAACTGCATAGGGTGTTAGAGGCTACATTAAAACATACTGCATAGGGTGTTAGAAGCTATATTAAAACAAACTGCATAGGATGTTGTCATGAAATGGCTGCAGGTAGGTGCTGGATTACGTGATAGTTATAGTTAATATATTGTAGAATGCACTATCAATCCACAATTATTTATGTCGAAGAAAACATATGAACTCACCGTAGTTAAAGCATGTTTATTTGTCCATGTTACAGCCGTCTTCATAAATTGCTCACGATTATACTTAAATTCATTTGACTATAAGATAATATTTACATACAAAAAATACATTAGATTTTAGATAGCTTTACTAAGTAAAAGTAACAGTTATCAACACTTCAAATAGTAAAGAATATAATCTGTATGACCAAACAATATGATTTAAAACATGGCACATTTAGAAACACTTTTACTATAGAAAAAAAAAATATATATATATATATATTTTATTTGCCTTTCTGACAAATTGAAATAGATACTTATAATTGCACAATGAAATAATAAACAAATAAGAAAAAATACAATACAGTTGTACAAAACTAATTTTGTGACAAACATTTCCAATTTTATGGACCATGGTGTATTGAATTTTCCAGTCAGTGCTAGTGGAATTTGCAAAATTGATTGGTATTGGAATCACTGTTGAATTTTCCTTTGAAAGACTGGTATACCCAATTGCACCAAGTTACAATACGAACAGACAGGCTTTACATTGTGGTTGATTGTAACGTTGCAAGCACAATGAAAACTGTAGTCTGATTAGTTTACAGTATAATGCTAGTCTTATGTTGCCCTCAACCCAACTGACAAGTTGCCAGTAGCGCTCAAGCCAAATTTTATTCCAATTTGGGAAACTACACAACTGAACTGTTGTGCAGTAGTTGAGCGCTTACGTTGCTTCCGATTGTAGATCTATGGTAGTGTTGCTATGTTAGTGCGCACACATGCATCAGGCATGAGGGAATTTCATATTTTTCCACTTGTTCCCAGACAAGTACCTTTGAAAGATGCACTTGTCCTGAAGACAATTTTATTTGTCCCAATATTCATCATATTGCGCAATAATCATAAAAAATAACATAAAAGTAAAGTATTTTTGCTATGGCCCTACAACATTAAAATTCCTACATGCATACTGCATTGATCACGCAAAAATGTTTTTCTTTCTCTTTTTAATTTGCAAGAATTAAAACGACAACTGCAAGTAAAAATTTCTCAGGCATGGTTGATTCCTACGATGCACGAGTTCTCATTCACACGTTGACAGGACTGTGTTTTATGACGTTATTTTTTTTTAGGGGGAAGGGGGTGCGCGGTGGCCATACTATATGATTGTACCCCTCTAGAAAAAGAGATGCACCGAATCGTAAATACTGTACTTGTGTTCCTACTATCAAGCACTCAATTTTCTGCAAAATATCCATGGAAATCGGCACATATTTTCGAAATGTGGCGATGGATTTCTTGGCCTAATATTTTTTGCGGGGAATATTTTACAGCCTGACACATCCTCATTTCATTTATTGCAAAATAAATAAAATTGCTTACATCTCAACGAAAGACAAGCAATGTAGGCCTATATAACTATGAGCATGGGCAGAGGGGGAGGAATTCCTTCTACTAGTCCCAGAGAATCTCCTAGACGGCGAAATATTTGGGACGGGAAAATGATTCATAGGCACTAAACCCATAAATTTTTAACTTAAGTTTTACAAGATTTGGATTTTATATACACATTATCATCATCACTTAGTGAATGATTTTTTAGTTACTTTAACAACTCTATATCCCAATTTAACTACCCTTCTTAGTCTGTCTAGATTGTCTTCCCCACACGTGCAAATAGACTAGGCCTATTTTGAAGTTCGCCTAAAGGCTGCTGTTCATATTCGTACTCGAAAATAATTACTAGTCTTGAAGTCCAGACACTTCATGTCGTCCAACTCAACTTATCAACTAATGGCTGTGCGACCAAAATCTTTGTATATGTCTGGTATTTATAGACTAGACCAGTGCGAATTTATATTGTAAACAGATCATGTGCAGCAGGCCCAGGCGGCTGATAGCTTACAGGTACGATACGTTGGGAAAATATGTAGGTCTGCTGTATGTGTAAACATACAACAGATCTGGCTAACATTTAATGATTAAGAATAAATTTTCAATCTTTACTGCAGGAAATAACAAGTTTTAAATTGAGTAGGCCTACATTTTTTTCTTTTAAACCGTCAATAAATCGCGGGATTGTTTGTGACTCTAACTTGATGAACACTGTGCTATGCGTAACCATGGCATAGTGCGTTTTCTGTTTGATCTTTCTTTGTGCGCCGACAATTTGTTACTAAAATATGCTGCGCATTGTCAAGCGTCAGACTTTTTATGAAGTACTGTGAAAGCATTATGCATTACATGTAGTAGTCTATTCTAAAAGTGCTTGTCCACGAACAAGTGGTCCTGAAAATTCTTGTTGTCCGACCGTAAAAAACACTTGTCCCGGGCATCGGGCAAGTGGGTTTGCTCATGCCTGTGCATGTAATAGACCAAAATTACTCAGTTAATACCGTCCCATAGCTATTCAGTCGCTTGTCAGTTTCTTTGAATTGCAGCAAAATAGGACATGGGCAACTATGAGGAACTCGTGATAGAAACACTCATGTCATCTCAAATGGCACCACTCACAGTTGCTGGCAAATTTCCAAATGTCAGTTGATTCGTGTCGCAGAGCGACATTAGCTCACATTGGTAAACCAATACTTACAATGTCATGCATGAGAGGATCATCTGGGTTTGGGTCAGACATCAGCAGTTGAATGGACGTCAATAATGTCAACAGGTTCAAAGATGGCTTCCAATTTCCCTTTTAAGAAAATATCAGGAAAATTTAATACAAAATTATATAAACCGTTAATTAACCAATTAACCTCTATCAAGTGCAGTATCAAATATCATTTAATATATACTTAAATAAGGCAGTCAGACTAAGGATATCACAAAATGTTTCACATCCCCAACGATGTTCTTATCAAGCAGTTTATCTTAATCAGAATTTAAGATTTCAGAATATGGCAAATATACATATATACAGTAAATATATAGTGTAACATTTTAAAATTGAATTAACATTCAAAATCACATATAGACCTAAATAATATATATAATATATATCTGTCTCTTATACACATCTCAGGACTGTGTTTTATGACGTTATTTTTAAATATTTACTCAAGGGAGTAAGCAACTTGAGCTCAAAGCACAGGTAATGGACATCATACTAATAAATATATATATATATTGCTTTTGCTCTTTATGAATTAGCACAGTTGAACCCAAAATGGCATTGAAAAATTGTCTGACTTTGATGAAATTCGACTTAAAGATCGTTAATTAATGGAAAACACAACAATTTCACATGTAAAATAACTTTAAAGCAAAGTCGACTTAGGCAAGTTTAACTGTACTTACACTTGGAGGCATCTTCAGGATGTCCAGGCATATTCGTCCAGCAGCATCAATGTTGGGATGATAAATAGGTGTAACAAATCGTACCTTGGGTGGCTCAAATGGATATCTGCAACAGAAAAGGCATTAAAAAGATTTACAATAATTTTCGTCCACATCAAGCTTTTCTATACAGCATTATAGAATTTCATATTCCAACAATTGAACCAGCCTTATACTGTACAATACAATACATTCTGGTCATTATAAAAAACAAGTAGATTTGAAAGCGAGATTTTTTTTATATACCTTATTTATCAAACCCTCCAACTGCCAATAATGGTAATTTCGAAAAAAAAATAAATAAATAAAAAATAAAAAAATTGGCCAGTTAGCACACCCTCTGATATAAAAATAGAAATTTTAGAAACAAATTTATTTTTATTTTATTTTCGAGCCTTCTATAGACAACCTAAAAAAAAAATCATCTTAAAGCCGTAGGCCTACAAACAATTACAGCCGAGGTACATTTTAGTCAGTCTCTGATTGTTTTAGTGTTGAGCTTTTTCCTTACTGTTGGAAAGGTACCTTTATCAATTGATTGATTGGTTTTATGCTTATATTGGCTTTTTCGATTTTGATCCATCATATTAATATAACAAAACAGTTAGTTTTATTTACGTTTCAACGGTGTGGACAATATTATTATTACTATGAATATCTATACAATACAATATTTAATTAACTACAGCAGAATTGCTGACTGACTTGTTAGTGTTAATCTGCACTCATTTTCAAGCGTAGCAGTACACTGAACCACTGGGTGGTAGTGAGACACAACGATGCAACCATAGGTCCATGATGATGCAACCGTAGGTCTCAGAGCTGATAGTAGAGTGGGTGCCTTAACGTAAAAATATGGAAGAATCGTTATACGGATGACAACATTTTAATTTTTGGTGGAGATACTTTTATCAACATGCTTGTCAAGAAAATATCTGTAAACCAAAATAAAAAATCTTATTTTTGGGGTAAAAAAACACATTTTTGGGAAAAAAATATGATTTTCAATATTTTGGTATTTTTAACTATTGTAGTGCAAGACTTACATGTACATATAGGTTTAACATCAATGTTATCATTATTTAGTAGAAATATCCAAATAAAAATGAAAAAATATAAAGAAAATAAAAGACTTTGGATGGAAAAATAGCTTTTGTACCAATCTAGATTTATAGATTAATAATTGTATTACCTATGAAAAAAAAAGCCAAATCTCATACAGACAATTTTGAAAAATCTCTGGAGCCAAAAAAATTACATTTTTGTGGTGAAAAATTGAATTTTTGGTGTAAAAATTGAATTATTGGATAAAAATATGGTTTTTTAATAATATTTTTGTATTTTTCACTATTACCCTGGTGTAGTACAAGGCCTACATGTACAAACAGGTTTAGAATCTATATGGTCATTCTTTTTTCACAAATAAGCAAATAACTATGAAATACTTTTATCAACATGCTCTTTAAGAAAATATCTGAAACAAAAAAAAAACACCCAATTTTTTGACACTTTTTTGAGTTAAAAACATGATTTTTTGGTAAAAAATAGAGAATTTTTTGACATTTAAACTACAGTATAACTGGTATGCTTTGCATGTAAAAATTCTAATCAACAGTATACCTCACTGGTTGATAACATGTCAGAATCTGACAAAAGTTTTAAGAAAAACCCAGATTTTTGGCCATTTTTTAGGATAAAAATATGATTTTTTAAATTAAAAAATATATATTTGTTGACATTTAAATTAGCTCTGCACGTAAAAATATATTTTAACCAATATCATATATCTCACTGATCAATAATATCAGAATATGACAGTTTAAAAAAAATCCCAATTGTGCCCATTTCTGGGTTTTAAAAAGACGACTTTTGGCACAAAATAGATTTGATAGGTGTGAAAATACATTTTAACCAATAGAGTATTATATCTCACTAGTCAATAATATAGCAGAATCTTACATAAAGGCATTAAAAATTGATAAAAAATTTCGATTGTCTACACATTTACAAATTAACTGCAGTTCTCTGTATGGAAAAATACAAGTTAACCAATATATTACCTGATTAGTCAATATAGAATCTTACAAAAGGTTTATACAAAATCCCAAAATTTGTTGGTGGCCGGTATAAAAACTGATTTTTGGTAAAAAAAAAATGTTTTGTTGAGATTTAAACTATATCCTGATATGCTATGTATTATACCGCACTGATCAAGTATTAGAGTGTCAGGTTTAAAAAAAATGTTAGACCATTTTTGGGATGAAACACAGTTAATTTTTGGTAAAAATAGAGGTCTGGGCTTTTGTTTTGGTTAGACGCTCTCATAAAGCTTATAATGATTGCCCGAATTTGACCCTCACTGGGCTCACCCATAGTCTACCAAGGCCTATAAGGATTCCCGTAGACAGTTTCGATGGGGGTGGGGATGCGTCTTGCTAGCAACATGGTCTTTAGGCTGCATGCCACCTATGGCTCCAAGAGTGATCTAGGACAGTGCCCTTGGTGGTAGTTTATGGACAAAGCCATGGAAGCTCAGACAGTGAGGGAGGGCCTTGGCCTATAATGGATTTCTGAAACCCATAAGTTAGTGAAATGCTACTTAAATTTGCATTCATTTTGGCGTTGTTGGAGACCTGAAGAAGTAACGCCTCATGTGCTGACATCTGTAAGCCTTGTGGCAACAAAAATGTGGATCAATCCGCAAAATAACAAATTCGTACCACAGATTAAACATTAATGGAGAACAGTTAGCAAAGGAAATGCATACTATAGCATTTGGTGATAATTAGTAACGATAATGAAAATACAGTAGGTACAACAATAGCGTTTTGAGAGCTATACAGAGTGAGTAAACTTGCCATAGCAAAATCCAAAATGCGACTGTCCCACTTCTCTACCCTTTTCATTAATTTTACAGAGTGTGATATACCACATCATTATTTATTGGAAAAGGAAGAGCACTTCTATTCCCCTCCCCCTCTGGGGACAGAGTTTTTTTCTTTCCATAAGCAAACATCAATATAAGTAGTTCGACTCCTGTATCCTGACATTTGAGCGACTCACTATTCTTTAGTATGACACTGACAGGACCAGTAGGCCTACATCAGTATCAATAAGGTCTCTCAGAATAACAATGACCTTGCGCATCCACTCACCCATGTGTTCACAGCGGCCTGTTTGGATGACCAACCAGAAGCAACTATTATGGCTGCCGTAAGTTCATGTATGAGATTAAAAACCAGACTTTTAAAAAAGTGACATTTTCGTAACAAGAAATCTTTTACAGGTATTTTCTTTATTTTTTTCATTCTTGTTTGCTTATTTGTGACAAAATAATGACCATATAGATTCTAAACCTGTTTGTACAAGTAGGCCTTATACTATAATAGTCAAAAATACTGAAATATTAAAAACCATATTTTTTCCCAAAAATTAAATTTTTTACACCAAAAAGTCAATTTTTACACCAAAAATTCATTTTTTACACCAACAATTTTTTTTTGCCCCAGAGATTTTTCAAAATTATATGCTCATACTAATATCTGTACCAAATTTAGCACTTTTGTCATCCAAGTAATTCAATTATTAATCTATGCACAAGGTTAAAATCTAGATTGTTACAAAAGTAACATTTTTGTCCAAAAAGTCTTTTATTTTCATTATATTTTTTCATCTTTATTTGCTTATTTCTTACTAAATAATAAGCATATCGACTCTAAACCTCTTTGTCCAGGTAGGTCTTGCACTATAATAGTGAAAAATACCAAAATATTGAAAACTGTATTTTTTACCAAAATTGCGATTTTTTACCCCAAAAATAAGAAATTTGTTTTGGGTTCCAGAGATTTTTCAAAACTGTATGCCTATATTAATATCTGTACCAAATTTGGCACTTTTGTTATCCGTGCAACGATCCTGACGCTAAGGCACTCAACTATGAACACTCTATGCTCTTAAAACATGCTCTGCATGAGACCGCACCGCGGTGGTACGATGGACTTGTATTGCTCCACCGCGAGCGACTAAAAAATAGTAGGCTATAAATTCGTACCAAAAATTTCATTTGTTAACGACGACAAATGGTTTACCATTGACAAATTTTTGGGTAATATTATTAGTGGAGGAATACAACATATGAAATGTGTGACGAAAGAAAAGACAGTACGCTGTAGTGTGGATGATGAAGCACCAGGTCGTCTTTATTTCGAGGTTGCGGAATGAAGAGTACTGTGCATGAAGGTAACAAATCCTGAATTTTAAACACCTTATTTCTTTACTTTTATGTAAGTTCGTAATACACAAACGTCTAGTTCAGGGGTTTATTTAAGAGCCGGCGGCCGGCGCATTCGATCGGCTACTACAATGTTTTCGCCGGCTACTTCAATCAATGCTGTACAAAAATTAATACAAAAACCACCAATATAAATAGCGCAACAGGCCTGTAAAGAACCTTATTTCCCTACACGAAGTTAATTTGCAATAGTATGCACTCATTTCGTTGTTCCTTTCTGTGTAAAGTTCGTTAAAGTGTCTACCAATTTTCAGACTCCATGTTTGACTTTCATGAACTCGCGGCGTAAACAAAATTAAAGTTAAAAGTTCGGCAGTCGCGTCTGGGTGAGTCCATCAAAGAAGCCACGCCTCCAAATCACATGTTAGCCAATAAGATAATAGAAATTTCTCCTCCACCACATGCTCAGGTGATGACGATTTACATCGCCCAAACTCTTTTTCCGTACATTGGGTTTTCTTTCCGCGGAGAAGAAAAAAACAGATCGTCATTTAAAATTAATTTGTGTATGACTATGAACCTTTTATTTTCATTTCATTTTTATTTTACTAGCCCTCTTTGTGATGACATAGATATTTCGGAAATGATAAATAATTTTAAAGCCGAACCAACTATATTGAATGCTGTTACACTCACAATTTCAGAGTCATAGATAGTACAATAATTAAAACGGCAGAGCAAGCCAAAATCGTCTCAATTCACATCACATGAGACATTTTTTTTTCAATGTGGTATCCATTCCTTTTCGATATCTGCGTAAATTTTAGAACTATTTTTTGCTCTCCTTAGATGTTTTCTTCAACGCAGATCTAGGGCAAAGGCCTAAATGGTGAATCCCCACAAATTTCAACATGTTTGTGAAAAGTAAACAACTTATCATTATAAAAATTGTATTTTCAATTTATTTTGGTGGATTTTATTAAATGTGTATAAACTTAAAAAAGAATGTATTTCAATTATTGAATCAATATTCTGACCTTAAATTCCGATGTTGAGCTCGAAAAATTCGTAAATTCTAGGCCTATTCTGTATACTAATCAAGGAGGTTCTGATCATCACTGCATGTGATTGCACATGTGCAACCACTGTGCAGTGTATACTAAGAAGTTCAAATGGGAAACTAATTTTCCGTACCATATGACATACCACGATGTTATCATCATCAATCAATGTGTTTGAATCGATATTAGGACTACAGGAAAATAATTTATTGATAAACATTGTTCATTTTGTAGGATGCTTGAATACCATACAAAATTAAGGAATATCATATGAGTGAGTTCTGTATGTGTGTAAACTTGTCTATTTCTTAGCTAGCTAAGTCCTGGTATTAGCAACTGAGGTGGCTGCAGGCTTATGGCGCCTAAGCCTGCCTAGGCCTAGATACTGTAGCCTACACAGTGGCTGTAGGCCTATCTAACCTAGGCCTAAACTCACGATACGATATTTTCAGCTATTGTATGATATTCCTCTCATGAATTAAATTTAGGCATTTTGAGATTCGCGAAGGTTTAATGTCGCGAAAACGGCCGAAATTATCAATTCACGAAAGTTTCTGGTTTACAGTATCTATTTAGGCTAGGCCTATGTATGAAGAATATGTAAAAATATCTTTTTTACAGCTCAGTAGCTGATTCTGAAAACTGTTAAAAAAAAAAATGATGTAGAGAAATTCCATTCAAATGGGCTCTAAAACCTTGGAGGCAATGGCGCTTCCCCCTTGACCCCGATGGGGGGCCTAGGCGGCACCCCCTATACCCCCGACCTATTTTAATTTACTCTCCTGTTACTTTCAAATTTCTCCTGCTACTCAAATTCATAAATAAACCCCTGCTAGTTAGTAAGTGCCTGTTTATTTAGAAACTGTTAATACAAAACCTTGCGCTGAATTTTGAATAAACAATTTCTGAAAACGAAAACGCCAAACACGCTGTCAACGGAATTGCAACGGGTTGAATGAGTTGGATTCTTGCAATAATACTGTCCAGTACTGTAGCTATCACAAAGATATTTCAGTTATAGGCATAGACTGCACATGGGCTACGGTTATTTACTCACATTAATATTTTTCTAGGCTACGCAGATGCATCTTCATCTCTCGCCCTAATCTAGCGTAAAGTCTACTCTAGGTCCTCCGAATCGAGAGATTATAACCGGGGGGTTACACATTGTGGTCACTGTGTCAAATGAAATTATGCCATTGGTACATTCTGGTACTCAGATACACGACAGTCAGTCATTTTCCAGCAGGGCATGAAAATGTTTTCAACACGACATATGCATGTTGTAAGTTAAAATTTCATCGGATAGACTATGGTTTAGCCTTACCTTTTTGGGAGTCCCCACCGAATGTCGGTATGAAAACAACGTAAATTCAATCAAGTAAATTTTATCAAACGTAAATATGATTTAGTTTTTAGTTCAATGCAACATCCGATAGACTCTATAAAGAATTTGTTAACGGTAGCAGTCCCGAACTAGGCTAGGCCAAGCTGAGTAGGCCAAGCTGTCCAAATCATCACGGTAAAAGTGGCTGTCCGAAGTAATTTTTGGCCATCCAAAAGGCGGACGGGCGGCTCGCTGTGTTACATGCAAGTACTGAAAAATGTTTGTGAATTGAAAATTGATAATGAGTCTGACATGAATATTTTCAGAGTAGGCAGATATAAAAGTTTACACTTTCTCTTTTTTGTACACCTTTTGTACCTATGTATGTAAAATGTTTCTTGGACAACAACATTTTCTAAGGAGTTCCTGTATACTAAAATTCATTTAAAAAAAATTGTTTTGTACTTACCTTTCTGGGAGCTGAATTTCTAAATGAAAAAGTCCACCATTATAAGGAGTGTTTTCTGCCCCAATAATTTCTGCAAACAAATTTTAAAAGTACAGTAGCAAAGACTGGATTAAACAACATTGCTGGAATTTCAAACTTTAATCTTGTGTCATTCATAATTTCAATTGCTAATACATAAACATTACAGATGGGACAATTATGAAATTTCATACAGTATATACTGTATGTATTACGGTAAATGAATATTAACAAATTTGTTTATAAGGGATACAAAAAGATAACTGTGCACAAAAATATTGTCCAACAGATGTACTGTTCAAAAAATCTTTATCATTTTTATATGTCCCATCTCTAAAACAAATATTTAATGTCAAATATTCGGCCTACTTTAAAAATATCCATCAAAAAATGAAAAAAAAAGATTTTTTTTCAGTTAACTTTGATATATACAGTAGCTACTTTGACAATTAGTCAAAATTATAAACCCTCATGTACCAAAATTGTTGAATAATCCTTTACCGTACAAAAGTAACGTACATGTAACCAAACACCGACATTTACCTATAGGTCAAAACCACTAAAAACTGCCAATTCACTTTTCAAAATTTTCGAAAAAAAAAAAAAAAAATTGTCTTAATAACTTAAAAAATCAATTATGACAATTTGAATAATGATTCAGAAAAATATGAATACGTAATCTTGTCAACTTTTATTTTTGTCACCAACATTAGGAAACAGTTAAAAATCATTCATGAAACCTACATTACGATGCGTTTTAATAAAATAAAATTCTCATGCAAAATGTTCATGGTAACTAATTCGCATCGCAAATATACTTTCACTGTTGCTCTCCACAATAGTGTGCAGACAGTTTTTGGGCACTTTTGTATATTTTTATTTGGTAAACTGTATTTTTGTGATGGTAAATTTAAATGTAAATCCATAAACATCACATATACTTTTTATATTATTCCTATGATATTTGTTCTAAACTCTTTAGTTACGAACCAAAAGATTACCACTTGTATGCACTTGTAACCTGCAGTAAAAAGGTTCTTAGTTAAATATTCAAAAATGTACCAGTCAAAACTGATAACGAATGTTACGAGGAAGTGTAACATACTGTATGTTACAAGGAAGTGTAACGTATGTTACATCTTCAACAAACAAAAGCACTCATGTTTAAAAATATTCCGAAATTGTTAAGTGCCAACATCTTCAACCTGTCAAAAACATTTATCTACGAAAACATTGAGTATTTGATACCAACATTTAACCAACCAATTAAAAATAATCCTGTTTTAAAAACACACCCAGGATTTAAGCAATAGACAAACATGCTACCAACGAACTTTTAGATCTGCAATCTAAATGCAAGACCACATAATTTCATTAACTTTTTAGTCAGCTTGAATTTAAGCTCTTGTATCCATGGTGATATATTACTGTTATGATATCTATAAGAAACTAACAAAAAGTGTTGCTATTAAACTAAACCCCAAGATATCAAATTAAATCCCAATAAAAGCCACGTAACCTACGTTACCTCCTACGGAACCTAAAGTTCCCGTTTGTAGAGAAGAAATTGAATCAAAAAGCTCAGATTCCAATTCACTGTCCAATGTAACTTTCAAGTAAACATGTTGATGATTGAAAAACAAGCAATTGTCACATTGTTAACTTCTTATTTTATTAAAGAAAGTTTTTTTTAATTAGGAAGGAGACACGAAACCTACGTTACCATTATACCGTATGTGGTAAATAATTCGTGTCTATCATTAAATCAATCTTACTTAAAGAATATGATCTGTGTATGTTTAAGGACTATTTGGTGCATGCTTACATGCATGGCTAATTTTCTCAAAATAGTGTACTAGGCCAAGGAATTTAGCGAATTGAAAATTGAAACATTACGTTACAATATTATGAAATATACGTTACGATCTAATCACATGGTTAACAATCAGTACACTCCCAAGGAAACTGTTCTTGATTGAAAATATTATTTTAGTAAAAACAAATAGTCCTTCAAGTTTTTAATGTGCAATGTTTTCAGATACTATTGTACAGAAATATTAAGTATTATAAAGAAATGACAAAAGCCTTATCTTCAACTAAATTTTAAGTCAGGTTTCTTCAGAAATATCAACACGTTACTTCTACTACGCCGCAAAGTAAAAAGCGTCTCGTTGCCAACCGCACCCCCTCAACGTCAAACAGCAGTTTACAAAGCACGTCGTGATTTTAGTTAATTTTACGTAGGGCTCAGTAAATACTACAGTAACGTATGTTTCGGTAACGTAGGTTTTATTTTAACTTCATCGTGTGTTAAAAATATGTTGCAATCACCGAAGCCACCTACAATTTACTACCTGAAGTGCAGATATAAAGCTATACATAAACCCAATATCTCGCATGCATCAACCGTTCTATTTTTGGCGACAGTGGTAACGTATGTTTCATTTCTTAAGTATACAGGCGACAAAACACCACTTTCTTAGATTTTTTCTTTAAACTGGTGATTTATATTGCCCTCAAATTTACCCAGGAAGAGAAAACTTAGTCACTTGATTTTTATTAATGATGAATAATTCATTTTTAATTGAGTATGCATAATATGTCCAACTGCATGACCCGGTAACGTATGTTTCATCAAATGTTGCGACACAATTAAGTCGGAAAATAAATATTCTAATAAAAGAATGTGATCATGTTGATTATTTTTTGTCTTGTAGGCAATAAACAAAATTTGCTATATTAACTAATTTTAAAGTGACACACCTCCTTATTTTTAAATTATATATCAATATATTTAAATTTAGTGCTTTGGTACATCAATGTATTGTCCCGTTTACAATATTCAATGAACCATATCTCCAAAAGTAATCATACCTAAATGCTGAAATTTCAGGGCATTCTAGCTTTACATGTTGTTACCATGTATCAAAAGTGATATTTGTCATTACTTTCGTAACTTTTGATTAATAATAAATAAAATGTTTGCGACACACTATTTGGCTAATTGGTAAATGTTAGTGGTTTTGACCCTACAGTATGTAGCCGCTAAGTCTTTAGTTACATTTACATTATACTGTACAGCGAAAATATTTACTTCATCATGCATAAAAGAGTGAAACTTAAAACATCCAATTCATTATTTTTATTTTATTAAATGCTATTGTTTGAAAGTAAAAATATGAATTCACACAAAACATTTTATTATTTCATTAATTTTTATGAATTGGTAGCCATGAGAGGTTGTCACAAACTGTACATTGAACAGTTACTGTAGTTACAGCACAACTTAATACCTCCTTGTCTATCTAAAATCACCCTATTTCTGTAAGGTGAATCACCGAAGATTCACAAGATATAATTATCATCATATTATTAAAGATGCCTAATGGAATATGATGGAAAAGAACATCTTAATTGTTACGTCAAATTAAAATATTAACATTGAGCAATTAATGGCATGGTGGATACAGTAAAATGATATAAATGCAAAATATAAATTTCTGATAAAGATTCGTGTACATACATTCTTAATAATAGTCATATTTTTCCTTAAAACAATAAAAAAACACACATTTTGTTACTCAGTACTTGGTGAATGTACACATACAGGAATTATGACCGGTTGAGCTGCTGACAAGTTGAGCCGCCGGTCATTTCTATGAAATGCCAAGCGCGTCTCTCAGTGAATGTAATGCGTTAATTGTGGCGTATTTTAATTAACTTATTCGTTATTTGTACTATTTTGTTAAATATTTTTGGGGAGTAATTCAATTAATTTACTCGATTTACTATTATATTAAATATTTTTGGGGCGTATTTCAATTTATTTACTCGTTCTTGGTACTGTTGTTTTGGATGTATATTGATAATTACAGTAAGAAAAACTAATCGAAAGTGACAGTGTTGGCATTTTTGCATCATTTTATAAGGAATTTAGCAAATTTTGCAACAAAGGTGCAACTTCATACAACTTCATTTATTTCATTTTATCTTTATAAAAATGTAGTTACATAAAATAATTAAAATTCTAATTTTCAATTACACAACTTATCACGAACGGCAATACGAGCAAATCAACGACTGACAAGACTGTGGGATGAATATGTAGCTGGTATCCGGGGGGTTCATTCACTGATGACATCAGCAAACCGACTGATCAAATACCATGAAGATAAAACCACTAGGGAACATTTTCATTTCAAAATTTTGATTAGCAATGTTTGCTAATCAAATTGAAAATTGAGTAGCAATATCACATTTTTGTATAGCATTTTCCCCCCAAAAATTATTATCGAACTATTATGATTTTACAACATTCAAGGTCCATGCAGGCTTCCAAAAAGTAATTCACTCAAGAAAAGCCCATGATGAAGAAGTCCCACCACTTCAGATGATGAAGATGAACACAACATTGCAATTTATATTAGTTAAGCTTATTTTGGACGATAGAGTAAATTTACATTTTAAATTAAACATTCTTTTTGTATGTATACAATATTAATTATTGAAGTATCAATGAATGCTGTTTATTTGGAATAATCTATGTGAACATAGAGAAAGAACTTCCTTCTCTATGATGTGAACAATAAAATTAATAAAGTACATAGTGATGTCACAAAAATACAAGCGTTATTTTTTACCACCACGAATAATGGGGATGAGTTGACTGGATGGGCCATGGACGTCTGGGGATGAGTTAACATTGATAACAATGATAGGACAATAATGTTATCAACAGAACAAAAATGTCCTGATTATATTGTAAAAAAAATTAAGGTTGAGTTGATCAAGTCAAAAGTTCATATTAGGCCTACTGTACGAGGAATGTAACTTGATTCACTAGGCCTATTTTTTGTGTGGCAGACTTGACATTAATAGGCACAACATTACAGCAGATTACAGCTCTCTTGAAACCAGCAGTACGTACTTACCTGATTGAAAACCATTATGATAAAAAGAATCTTGCATGCTGGTTCTAAATTAAGTAAAGTACAGTATTTATAAACGAGAGTCAGGCCTAGCACTACCCTATCTAATCGTCATCTTGTTTATAATGCTGACAGGTTCCCAGTTGATAAGCTTCATTGCACACCATTTCAAAACATCATACCACAAGGTTGGGTTTGAGCGTGAATCGAATACGGCGGCGGGCAGAAGGCCGTCAAAGAGAAGAGCACTGACGCTGACTGATTTTGAAGAACTTAAAGGTCATTAAAAAAACTCTTCAGAAGTCGGGAAAGCTCATTTCCGTCATAGGAATCATAAATTTTCCATTTTGAACCACCCATTTTGAACCACCCTCTTTCAAATCATGGATCCACCCCTGATTTTAATGTGGGTGCTAATACCTCATCACAGACAGTGCCTGGGTCACTAACAGTTGGATGGATGATTTTTTTTCTCATTTATCATCATAAATCCGGGATTTTAAGAGTATCAAATGGGTGTTTTCCTCGTCATACCTAACTCTCATTTGAAGTTCGTGTGGAAAAATACTAAATAAAGTAAAATATTTTGAAAGTTACTTTGGTGTTTCCGACTATTATTTTACTACTGTTTCATACTGTACATTAATTTGTTTGACTATTAAAGAGAAAACATTATATTTACATACCAGACTGAGGAAGGGCTGGAGAACATATTCATAGTCAAAGCAAACACATCATTAAATATATGTTCTCATTTTATAAGAATTACTTACATTGAATACCAATGCATGGATGGATGATTGTTTATAATGAATAGTCGTCTTCTAGTATAGTGAGGCCTATTAAATATTATTTTTAATTTAAACTCCCAGGAGGCTTTTTTTTTATCAACATTCAAAACACTATTGTGAAAGTAAACATTCAAAAAACCCACAATACATAGCATATTTTCCAATAAGGCCATGTAAAATAAAATAATTGGTTAGCATCCCCTCCTAACCATCAAAAAGGCCACAGACCCGATTTTTTAAAATTTTTTTTATTTTTTTACAAAACACTCACAAACTGCATTTAATATAGGTTTGTTTATCACCTGTCCGCACACTAGCCAGACCACTTGCAGTTCTATGCTCTACTGTTGTTCCATAGGCCTATACTGTAGCCACATGGTATCCATGATGCCTGTTGTGTTGAGGAGTGAATTGTGCATGCATAGAGATAATTGCATTCTGACGCTGTTATTCATAGGTGAAGTCTCTGCTTGCTATAGATGAATTACTGTATATAATTCCTTGTATGTAATTTTGGTCTCTGTTGTTTTTTTTGTTCTTTTTTAGCACTGTTTTTCCTTGCGAAATTCTTTTTTCATGTTCAACCCAAGAAAAAAAAAAAAAACCTCTCTCCTTACCACAAAAATTGATAACATATTAAGGATGCTAACCAATTGTTTTATTTTACATGGCCTAATGTTATTCTTATAAAGTCTTGCCTTTATATTTCATTGAAAAACGGATATAATAATTTGACTCTTTTCCAAATACAGGTCTTAAATTACTGTATTTATATGATGCCATCACTCGGCGCAACTAATGCATCCACAACAGACGCTAGGGGTGTTTTCCCCATACAGCAGATTGGGCTGACTCGCGTGCATTAAGAATAGCAGTCGACTCTCTTCTGTTATATACTCTTTGACTTTACACAAACCAACTTGTCGATGTCAAGGGTCATATGCTAAGTATCAATTTCGCCTATTTATTAGCTAAAACCGGAAACACTTGGAGCTGTCACCCCTTCAATTTTCTGTTTCGTAAAACGTGGCGTAACTATAGTAAATTATTTTTTTTCGGATAAAATTTTTTAAATGATCCAAAATGGCCAATTCAATTTCAAAATTTATTTTTTTCAAGTTTTCACTAAGTAAGGCCCAAGGGACAATACAATAGAACTTTAAATAAAAAAACCGCCAGATTATTATTTGCCTACGTTTCCGCATCCTGCAACAACCACACTACCAACGGAACTCTATTTGCGCGCTATACTTTCTATTGTTAAAAATCTGGTGGCCGAAATGATCTGAGACACTATGGCCTAGGTCTAGTTAATAGCTAGGAACTGGGCCATGCCTCTACTACTTGAGCCTAGCCTATTAGGGCCTACTTGTTTGTACGTGGTACCTACTGTAGTAGGCCTAGGCTAGGTCTAGTGCTTCGTGATTGACTGTGCCAAAACAAATTTTTAACTCACGGGCCTCAAGACTGTCGCTGCTATCACTCTTCATCGAACACGAAATACCAGGTGGCGGAGATCTCTCAAACATTTCTAACTCTCTCTTCATCCTTCCTAAACGCTGCATTTTAACACATTACAAACACAGTAGCTTTTTGACAACAAAACAATTGTTTTTCCGTCCTTTTTCTCGATCACCAATCGTTGGTCATGAAGAACGAGCTGTTCTGCATATCAAAGTGCGTTCCGCTCGACGACAGAACGCCCTCTACAAACTGTTGTGGATAAACTGCTGCGCTAAAGTACTGGATTTCCCGCACGATTAAATCGTATTGGTCTACAGGAGTTCGTGCTTTCAACCGGAGAGGCGCCAGTGGGGTCGGGGAGGGTGCTTAAGTCCTCCCCCCATCGGTCTGGTCAAGCCCCCCATCTGCCAAACTTGTCGGGTCAGTCGGACTAAAAAAAAAATAGGCCTAGTTTTCCCATGCCAGTAGTAAGGCCCACTGCCTACTCCAAACCAAATCAACTTGATAGAGGCCAATTTAACAAAGAAATTTTAACCCATAAGCATTAAATAGAATATTTTGTAAATAGCATTCAGTTTTCCATATTTTTTTGTGTTTGGTAATTGTTTGTACACAGGTCCCTCATCACAATAATGCAGTCTTTTTAACGCCAACATAATGTAATGGCTGCCAATGTCTAAAATCAGACGGCTACAAGCAGTACCAGTAAATCTGTCTCAGCAATCGCTTAGTCTGGGTCTGTCAGATCAGTCAAGCAGAACATAACAATGGTGAATCGAGTTTAATTAAATAGACTAGGTAAAAAATTTTAAAAAGAGGCCTAAAAATCAAGTTAGGGGGAGTGGAATGTTAAAAGCAGTCAACATAGCCAGATATCCTAACTAATCCGTCCTGGTCACCCTAATCCCTGTTGACACTTGATTTTTCACCTTGTATACAAATGGCGGCCATTTTGAAAAATGGCCGCCAAATTTATTTAAAATGTGCATATAATTGGAACTAAATAAGCTACAGATATGATGTTGGTTTCTAAACTCATAATTTCTACAGGCAACAAATTAGACATATAAAAACTACTGTCACTCATGCCAGAATAGAACATAATTCAAAAATAGGTGTTTATTTGTTTTGAAATACTGTAACCGCAAAATATAAAATGTGCATAAAATAAGAATAAGTATATAAACTCACCAAAAGTAGTCGAAAGCTCTTCCAATGAAGCAAAATGTATTGCAGTTTACATATATCAGAAACGGTGTAGTGTTTCATATATTGTCCCATAAAATTCAATTATGGCATATCATATTAAAATAAACAGGACCATTTGCGTAACACGTGAGCTCTCGGGGTGGGGTGGGGGCGCTCCTACTACTACCTAGCACGTCATTACTACCAAGCCTTAAGTAACGCATGTGCTTTCTGGGTGAAGTCCGAGTCGAATTGGGCCCTGGAGATGCCACTACTTATACTTACAGTAACCCTGATACTCAACACTCTCCTACAACGCCTTAACAATACCTAACCTTTTCTATAATTTCCGAAAAAAAACCAAATAGGCCTAGACCAAAATCCCACAAACACAATATGTGGCAGATTTATTAGAAGGGGTTCTTTATCTATGCCCCAGGATACCCCACTATGGAGGTTTGACCAGTTATGTAATGCCTGTGTGCTTTCTGGGGAAAAACTTTCTTCCTCCATGTCCAAATTAGTCCCGGAAAGATGGGCCCCTACTTACTACTACCGAGCAATCTAATAATACAACGCTTTTGACAAAATATTTTGTTTTAATTTTTTTCAAAAATGTATAATGTATAAGCCCCGGGCGGCTGCATAATAGTACCCACCTTAAAATCCGCCTCCTCCGACTTTAAACATGTCAATAAATAAAGAATAAAATACATGGTTATCCATCATAGTAGGCCTATTATTAAATATTATACACAGCATGTTGAAATCGATTAAAATAATGTATTCAGTACATTATAGGCCTACTAATAATTCGGATATTCGGATGATAAACGCCTGCAACATCATCAATTAGACCTTAAAGGACGATGGTCATTTTATTCAGATTGGCGATCATGTTTCAGAGCAACATAATTTTTGGTATCAAAGTGACACTTTATTAAATACAATCAATGAATTTTGTTACTCAAACGTCTTTATATTGATATTTTCAAGACTATTAGATGACCTGAACAAAAGTGATCCAGAAATCGTAGGCTTACTGTACAATATATTATGGCGGAAGTAAATGTTTGTCCGTCTCTGAATTTTAATAGTGTTACTGTAATCATGGAGGAAGAAAATAGATAATAGACCCTATTATTAAATATTGGAATGGTACCTATTTTTTGTGTTAACATGCTCTAACTCATTTTCTTGATCTGTTACTTTTTAATGTTCAGTACAATTAATTATTTAACACTATGCTTTCTTAGATAAGTATAATGCATACTCTTATACGATGGCGTGCATTTTGATACTTCGAGTATGTATTATACTATCTTATCCGATATTAATCAGTGGACCTTTCGGTTTATGCTTTCTCATGTTTGTATTTCTATTTTCTATTTATTTCTGCATTGCTCCCCTATTCGAAAGTGTGAGTTATTTCCATTCCTCAGAAGTCAAAGCCTCACGCAATCAATTACCGAGTTTCAGTTTCTGTATAGGTTTTAGACTTTTGTAAGTCTTTTTTTTTTTAACTTAACTTATATTTATAACCAGGGAGCAGAGCAGCTTGGCTCAGTTGCCTAAACTGGTGGTAGCCTCTGTGTGCGCTGAAACGTGGGGATCTCTAGGTCTCCGATTCAAATCAAAACGAATCATTCTTTATTTCATCACTCAAAATGTGTTGAATTTTACAAAAGTAAAGGGTTCAAGCAAAAAAATCTAAACAATCAACATTTAAACATTTTTCAACAAAAAGGACCCACATCACAAAAACAGCAAAAGGAAACAGGTTTAAAGGGCAAAAAGGCAACCAATATTAAAATTATTATTATTATTATTATTATTATTATTATTATTATTATTATTATTATTATTATTATTATTATTGTAATTACAGATATTGTAGTGAGATTATTATAGTTATTTTAATTACTGACTTAAAAATGAACAAAACATTCGCCTGTACAGGGAGTCCTTTCTAGCCTTTTTGGAGGATAAATTCTTAAAGTTTTCTAAGATGGTAATTGGAAGGGGCTTTATGGAAGGAGGTGGTGTATTGAATTCCCATCACTGCTCTCCATGTATTTCAGCTGGAGGGCTAAAATGCAAGTTACGATAGCACACCGTGTCTCCAAGATCGACTGTAAGACAGACATATATCATAGTATATCCAGTGAAGGTTTAATGGGGCCTTGTCGGCCTGGGGCCCCCTTAAATTTTCCAATTGTTTTAAAAATGGGAATTATACTCGCATTTTAAATCTATGAGTGCCATTTCCGGCCACTTCGAGGTGCCGTATTCATAAATGATCTTAGCTTAGCCCCAACCATGCTGGGGCTGAGGTGGCATAGGTGTGTGAAAATCCCTCCCTACCCACATTCCCTCTATTTTGAATACCTTGATCTGCAACTGATAGGCCTATCATATAATTTATTTTGATTTTAAAAGCAATCTAGAATACAATGCCAAATATTAGAAAAACGAGCACATTTAAATACCCACAATCAAAGTACTGACCGGATCAAAAAAGGGCCCCCAGTCTCAGAAAGCCACAGGGCCCGGGCCCATCGTTAGGCCACTGTCGGTGTGGTGACCAATCACCACCAGAAGGACCTCACTGGAAACAAATATTCTTCCGACTTTTGTGGGTTTTCCTTGGTGTTTACACCGAATATATCCATTAACCCATAAGGTACAGATATAGAGAAAGAATTTTGTTTAGAAATGGTGGAGACTACAGACATTAAAAAAAATAGCTTGTTTTGGAATAGGCCTACAGTGAAATCATGCTCCCTTCTTTCTGGTCTTTCTTTTCTCTTTCTTCGTTATTTTTTTGGGGTTGGGATAAACCCATGTCTCCTGGACCCACCCTGAAACGATTGATTGAATGATTGTTTGATAACACTTATTTATATTGGCAAAGCCAAGAAAATGTAGGTGCATATGCACAGACCTAATATATATATATGTTGCACGCAAATGTTCAAATTAGAAATGTGTGTGCAAAATATTATTCACACAACATTTTTTGGTATTGTCTAATAATTAAAGTCTTTTCATCCTTAACACTTATCTCTAGGGGGATTACCCACCCGGTGTCACTTCGTGAGCAAAAATATTTTAATGATATGCCTGGTGCTACTAACATTGTTTCGGCCCGGGACCCACGACTCGTTGTTGCACCACTGGGAGGACCATGCTGATTAATGTTATAACAAATCAATCAACCAATCAAACAGGACGTAACATAACGGCACCATTGTTCATAGTTACAAGTATTTACTTGTTTATTTGACATAATTAATGGCGTACAAGTATTTACTGTATGCAGAATCATCAATAGGCCTAAATAGGAAAACACAATATACTGCATTTGCCTTGGCCACCATGAAGTAAGAGTGGGGCCCCTGGCCTATCCGGGGGTCATTTGGACTCGGAGGAACTAAGCATTTCCCCAGAAAGCAAACAGGTGTACATATCTGGTCAAACCTCCATAATAAAATGATGGGTCGTAGGTGGACTGACCCCTTCTAATAAATCAGCCAAGAGTGTGTTTGTGGGATTTTGTTCTATTTGTTTTTTTGTTTTTTTTTGTTTTTTTTTCAAATTATAGAAAAAGTTATACCGTATTGTCAAGGCGTTTTAGTAGAGTGATGGGTAGTACAGTTTAGTAATAATTAGGGCTCGGCCCCCGTGGCTTCTCAAGGACCCATTTGAACTGGGACTTGGCCCATAAAGCACATGCGTTATGTGCTCGATAGTAAAATGCTAGTTAGAATTAAGAGAACCCACCCACCTCCACTCCGAGAGCTCACGAACATTAGGCAACTGGGTCCTGTTTATTTTTTTATACAGTATGCCATAATTAGATTTACAGGATAATATATAAAAAACTACACAGTTTCTGATATGTATATACCGGAAAACATAACTCATCATTGGCAGAGCTTTAAGATGATACCAAACACAACAACTTTTGGTAAGTTTGATTTTTTGACCTCTTGACCTTTTGTGTCATGTGACTTTATATATTGGTCTATATCGCTATAAATATGTATTATGTTGTTTAGGTGTAATGACAATAAATGATCAGTGCATAATTCCCTTTCCATTGACACCAATTATGACTATGTTTTATGTGGTGCGTCAGCCATCTTGAAATTCAAAATGGCGGCCGATGACGTTGGAACAAAAATGGTACCTAACTTGTTTGAATTCAGCGCAGCAACAATGATAAAGTTAGTCAATAAGATCTATTTTTGCACAAAAATCTATCTGGATTACATAGAAAACTGTACTAGTAGCTTATACTCGTTCCTATTTTATGTAGGCACTACATTTTAAGTATATTTTGCAATTATTTTAAAAACAAATAAACACCAATGTTTTAATTATGTTCCATTCTGGCTTGAGTGACAGCAGTTTTTATGTGTCTAGTTTGTTGCCTGTCTAGAAATTATGAGTTTAGACACCAAAATCACATCTGTAGCTTATTTAATTCCAATTTTATGCACATTTTAGATAAATTTGGCGGCCATTTTGAAAAATGGCCGACATTTGTATACAAGGCGTAAAATCAAGTGTCAACAAGGCTTAGGGTGACCAGAAATGATTAATTTGGATATCTGGGTATGTGGATTGCTTCTAACACTCCACTCCCCCTAACTCATTTTTTTCAGATTTTTTTCTAGTCTATAACGTCTTAATGCTTTTATGGATACATTAAAATATTGTTACAGTTGAAATTAAGTACAATGATATGCCAGTGTTTATTGACTTGAAAGTAGTACTGTACATACAAACAACTAACAATTTTATATTAATTATCAACTTGTATTTTTCAAGGCTAACAGCGCCATTTCCGGC